AGAGCAGTTTATAAAGTTTATTTTAAAACTAAAAAGAATTATAATGTTTTTCAAACGTCAAATTTCGAGTATAAGCATAGAATTTGTTTGGTAGAACATTTATATTGATATCTGTAACATAATTTGTTTTAAAATTTTAAAAATTGGTAATTTGCAGTAAAAGAAAAAATATCGCAATTAGTATTAAATAACACATTCTAAATGATATTCTTGGAGTACTGTTATAGACGGAATTTTTTTGGTAGAACTTAGTTGAAATTTGAATACACATTTTCATCAAATGTTTAAAATTTGCATTTTATAGTTAAAAAAAAATTGAAACGATTATTTAATCTATATTGAATTTTTTCTTATTATAAAATTAGCATTTTTTAAGTAATAATAATAATATTGATAATTCACTATTACTAATGTCATATTAATATTACGAGTAACATTAATATATATATTATTAATATTTATTAATAAATATTAATATATTATGAAAAAATATTATAAAATTATTGAAATATGCATTTTTTATTAAGTGTTAAACTTAATTCCTATCACTCGCTACTAGAGGGTGCTGGCTTCAACGCTGGTGAGTTTTAACGATGAAGTCATATGTCTTTTGTAGTTTAGACATCGTTGAAAGTGATTCAATCCTCACAGGTTAGTTTTCTCGACGCCAAAGAGATTTTCCAATTGATTGAAAATGAATCGCGATAAGTTGCTTTTCCGACGTGTGCTTCTTCACTACTTGACTACTTTGACCTCAAGAAAACCGCAGCTGAATCGTATCGCTTATTATCGGAAGTGTATGGTGATGAAACTCCATCGGAAAGAACATGTAGAGTTTGATTTGAACGCTTCCGAAACGGTGATTTTGATGTGAGAGACAAAGAACTTCCAAGACAGCCGCAAAAATTTGAAGATATCGAGCTGCAAGAACTGCTTGATGAGAATCCAGCTCAAACGTTTTTAGAGTTATCGAAACAGTTTAGTGTTACTCCAAAGGCCGTCTCAAAACGCTTGCATGCCATGGAAAAGATCCATAAGGAAAGGAGATAGCTACCACATGAGTTGTCAGAAAGTGCCATTTCGAATCGTTTGACTATTGCGACTTCTTTGCTTGCCAGGTAAAGAAAAAAGAGTTTTTTGTGGCGCATCGTGACTGGCGATGAAAAATGGATTTATTTTGATATTTCCAAGCGGAAAAAATCATGGGTGGACCTCGGCCAACCATCTGCTTCAACGCCGAAGAGGAATATTCACGGAGATAAGATCTTGATGTGCGTTTGGTGGGACCAGGAAGGTGTGCTGTATTAAGAACTCTTGGGTCCAAATGAAACCGTTACAGCTGATCACTACAAACAGCAATTATACCGATTGAGTGACGAATTGATGCAAAAAAGATCATCCGTAGCCAACAATTGACGCAAAGTCATTTTGTTGCATGATAACGCTCGATCGCATGTCGCGAAAAGCGTGAAGCAGACACTTCGAGAGCTTGAATGGGAAGTTCTGCCGCACCCAGCGTGCTCTCCAGACTTGGCACCGTCGGATTACCATCTCTTCCGATCGATGCAACACGCACTTACAGACACACACTACTCCAGTTACAACGAAGTCCAAAAATGGGTGGATGAATGGATCGCCTCGAAAGACACCGCGTTCTACCGTCGTGGGATTGCCCTGTTGCCGGAGAGATAGGAAAAAGTAGTAGATTATGGAGGAAATTACTTTGATTAAGATATTCATTCATCTTCCCTTCGAAACAAATCGATTTTTGAGACGAAAAAACGATAGGAATTAAGTTTAACACCTAATAGAATAAAAAGTAAATGAATAATTAGACTAATACTCGTTTTTACCTTTTTTAACTGTAAAGTGCCAATTTTCAAATTTTGAAAAAAATATCAAGATATCTACACGAACGTATTTCCAAAGAAAATATGTGAGTGTACTGGAAAGATATTACGAAAAACGTCACGTTTGAAACATATTTTGATTTTTTTAACGTTAAAATCATTTTTGCTATTAATGGAAGGGTTATATGATTACTAAAATTTATTAAAATCTATTTATTAAAATCGTCATCTAGAATGTGTGTGCATGTCTCTTTATCCCTTATACAGGAATATGTCGAGCGGCCGAGAAAGTACATTTTCGATTTTCGGTCGCTTATGTCAAGCGACTAGTAGAGGAAGCGAGACAGCGAGAGAGAGTGGCCGTCCTTTTCGCTCTAATACTCGCTTGTGTTTACGAGTTAGTCCGGATCTACAATAGGTGTTTTATGCCTTATGCCGTAAGAAACTGACCAATTACAATCGAATCC